AATTTCATTTGTGGCTGCTGGTAAGAGAAACTGGATATTAATTTTTTTCATTTAGAAAGCTGTTCAATTTCAGACAATCAACTTAATTTCAGGCACGTTCTCTAGGTATTCCATCTTTGCTCAGATTGCCTCTCTCTCAAATATTCACACATAGATGAAGCTGTAAACCCTTTGCAGAGAAGCCACAAGCATAAAGGAAGACAAGAAACACAGGGTAAAAGAATGAAAGACATGATCCAGTTAGATGTACAACTAACCAGGTACCCTTACAGAATTTAGGCCACCTCTTCAAAGATACTACTAAGCCACCATTTATTGCTGTCTTTTTTCAGTCTGTGTCCCTCAAAACCCTAAAATAAATGATGGAATTCTTCCTTTCAGGAAAGGGAATGAAATCTTGAAATCAGAGAACAAAGTCAAACAAACACTCTGAAAAGCAGGTATGATCAAAACCAAGGATATATTGAAAAAACCTGGGAAGTTTGGAAATGGAGTGCCTACAGCCAAATGGACTGAGATGAAATGTGGTACAGTGAAAAGGACCAAAACTTTGCAAAATTACTGATTCAAATGCTGGAATCAGGAAAGAAATATAAATAAGTGGTGAGGAGAAGACGTAGAAGAAATTAAATGCTACCAAAAATAAAAGGCAGAATTTAAAAACTGAGAGAAAACCCTAGAAGTGAATGTGATGACAAGAAGTGCAGGGAAATGCACCAAAGCTTGCCCAAATAATCCTCATTGAAATCATAGTATGTTTGACAAGAAAATCACCATACTCAGTCCTTCCTTTTTTCCATTTTCTCCAAATTTTATATACTGAGCATGATGTTGTTTGGTCTGGAATATCCCTTTGGTTATCTTGGTCAAGCCTGAAGTGTGCAGCCACGTTCATATGCAAAGTGACTGCTAATTATGCCTGAAGAAAGCTTTATTCAGGTTTCATGCACTTTACAAGCAAGCCTTTTTCTACCCAACAGACTACACCTATTTTTACAAACTTACTAGACATCCAAAAACACATATTTTCTTACTTTTAATCTGTTTATCCATTCTATTATCTGATATTTAGTCTTTGTACCTAAATCAATATTGTTGTGGTAGCATCAGAATTTTTTTTCACATTGATTTCCCATAGTACTGCAATGTCACTTTAGCTCAAGGTGGAGAAGCCAATAGGATGAGAGCAGTAATCCAAATAATAATGAAGGAATTATAAACCAAATTGCACGTAAGAAATTGAAATGATGTTTGAGTTCTTGGGCTATGAACTTTGAGATCAAAACAAAAATGGTTGTTAACATCAAAGGCATCACATCAAATAATCCATGTCTTGAAAAAATCAACATCCTTAAACATGTTAGTGTATGAAATAAGTGTTGGAACAAACAAACTTTTTTCTTCTTGCATCAGCTGAGTCTCCTAAAGCTCTGAATGATATTTTTCTTCCAATGTTCTTATTCTCCCCAGTTAGAGAAAATTGTATGTGGGTGGTTGGGGTAGAGAAGGAATGTGTCTTCATATTTCACAGACAAGAATATCTTGAATCAGACCATATGTCTGACAGTGTCTAAAGTGAAAGGTAAAAGCTTCCACTATTAACTATCAAGTGCTTCTTTGGGATATAACTCTAGGTTTTTGTCTACAGTTTAAACCATGGGTGTATCATTTGAGGACTTTAGCAGCTGGAGATAAAGATTTTGTATTTAGAACTTCAAGATGAATATTTCTTCTATTAATTTGTTTGTGTTCCAAATCCATCTAAATTTTCATCATCCACAAGCTTCCTTAAAAATCCTAGAGTGCAATCACTTCTTCATATTTGAAAAAAATTTTTTTAAAAAATTAATTGATCGAATTTTACCTTTTTGTCAGTGATCAAAGAATATTTTCCTTGATTTTTCTTTTGGCCATGCCACTTCAGATTATTCACTGATATAAGAAACCACTTCCAGTTTTCCTTAGTGCAAATTCAAACTGGGTTTCTGGGGAATTAAATTAAAAAATCTGTGCTGCTTTGTTTCAGTGGAAAGCATTTATTTCAATGCTTTGTGTTTTGATAGTATCTCCATATGTTTCATGGTATGGATAATGGTCCTTATAATAGTATAATTTGACATTGTATTGACATTCATTTATTTTAAGGAATTTAGTGAGTATTAAACTCCAGTATGTGTGTCAGGTAATGTGAAATGGCACATGGGCATACATGTGAGTATAATCACTGCAATAAAGAATTTAGTTTCAATAAGTCAACCACAGAAATTCACAAAAAGCATACAAAGGCCCATTTTCCCTTCAGCTCCTAGCATCTTCAGGACTGATGAAACCAACATGCAAATGGTTACAAATAATAGAGTAAGTAGAAGTTAAAATAATTGTACCTGACTTGAGAAACTAAAGAAAAGTTAAACAACCTGCATGAAGTCATAGGACTTAACACTGCAGCTGAATTCTTCTTCCTGATTCTATAATCAAGTGATGCTGTCATGCTTTCTGTAATTATTATTATTGCCTCTCTGTCAGAAAAAAAGTATTGAGCACTAAAAATTTTGTAAACTTTGTTGGTTGATATCTTAATATAAATAATAGCTTACAGAGTAAAGCAAGTGGGTATGATGATCTTGAAATCTGCTGTAGAGACTAGAGAGAAAATGGGGCCTTGATACATGCTCTGTTCTTAGGCATCCTGGAATCCCCACTTCATAGGAGGGAAATAGATGAGAAATAGTTCCAAAATGAACTCAATTGACCTTGGCAACAGGAACACTAATGGCTCTGGGAGTGGAGAGCAGGGCAGGCTACTTAATCCTCGGTGTCAGAAAGCAATTAAATCTGCTAATTACCAAATTATGTGTTCAAATTCTCAAAGGCAAGCATAAGCAGTAATGATTAACCATTTTGCAAAGAAATTCTTTCCTCTCTCTCCAACTGTTTTTGAGTATTCCCAAAAGATAACATTAATACACAGAAGCAACTTAATGTCACACTAAATGACAATGATAGCCTTTTCTTTCTCCTTGGAGATGGTACATTTATGATTCCCAAGTGTCAGGCTGTGAGACTGGACACTGTGTTTAACACAGTCATAACCGTGATGGTATGAAATTTAGATAAGTGAATTTATTGTCGGAGCTGCCACTGGGGAATGGAGAGGTAGAGCAATTTCTGGTCTTGCTTTTCAAAGGTGAAGAGGTGAAAAAGGAAGAGGAAAAAGAAGAAAAAAGTTGAAAATTATTTCCTGGTGTAATTGTTAAAATCAATTAGTAAATCTTGGGATATTGCAAAAGCCACAAGACCCTATAGTGTCACAATAAATGTTTGTGCGTTTTCACCTTTGAAGAGGAGGTCAGTTTTGCCAGAAAGTTTTTGCCATATTCTATACAAAGCTAAAGAAGAACTAAAGTATTTCCTGGAACTCTTTTCTGACATCTTTCCCTAAGCTCCAAGAACTTAGCCTGCTGAATTAAAGCACATGAAGAGGTTATTGTAAAAGTCCAGTGCACAAGAATAAACCGGGGTTATTTATATGAAAGTTAATCTCTAAGTGTCAATAACAGGTCAATGCAACATCACCAGAACAAACTCAGCTGCTTTCTTTCCAAGTAGTGCTGTTCTCTAGCAGATTTATTATCCTCTCATACATCACACTAGCAGGCTGCTGGAAAGAGGAAGAGAAAGAGCTGCCCTAGAAACATTTGATTACCCTTTAATTAACTTCTACTTTGCTGCAGAGCATCCATGCAGTCAGAGAGAGGGCATAAAGGAAAAGCACAATGGAGCACAGCTGAGGAATAGCCCCTGCATGTATGTCAGCCTGCCACTTGGTTTGCATATTCCTTTGAACCCTACTCTTTTGGGGTTAAAATGAAAAAAAATTAAATTTTCTGATTTTTACCAATTTTCTTCTTTTTATTCTTTTTTTTCAACTAGAATCATAATAAGTTGTTCAATAATGAAAGGTCAAAACATTTGAAATAATTTTGCAAGTAAAGAACTACTTTGATTTGACTACTGCATTGATATTCATGTCCTGTGTTCCTTGTGTGTCTTAGTTCACCAAGTGTTGACAGTTCAGAGTCTGCAGGACTTGGTATGCAGATGAGTGAAACTTCACTGTATTAAGCATAATTTTAAAAGAAAATCTTCATTATCTCTACTATGAAATATCCTGCCAGTTTGAACACTTCTATTTTTTCTTAATTTCAAGATCTTTGCAACAGTGTTTTCTGGCCGTCTCTGCAAGATTTGCTGTATGAAGAAAAAGATTACAGAGAAATAGCATTTTTCATTACACTTAAGCCTCTATCACTTCTATCACCTCTATCACTCCTGTCCACACAGCACACATCTATTCTCTGCAGCCTGTCTTTGCACTGCAGTTTGAAACACACAGTAAGTTCAAGTGGGTCTATTGTGTTATCTCTGGTTTTCAAAGATAGCTAGATTTGTATTACACTTATAAATAAGTGTCATTAATCCTTTGAGACACAACTGTAAAAACTAGAATATCTTTTATCTGAATTTTTTCTTCCTTTTCTTCTGCCTAGAGTATGCTGAATCTTAAATGGCTTCTCATAGGATTTAAAAACACAGGTTCCTGAGATTGTAAAGATTGAATGAAAAACATAACTTCATTACATTGTTTCTTGATTTTTAATGTAAGTGCTTGATTGCTTTTCAAAAATATGGCAAAATCATCACTGCTAGGAGCACTTATCATAGAAACACCAAATCATAGAATGACCTGGGTATAAAAGGACTTTAAAGATCACCTAGCTCCAGCCACCTTCCATGTACAGCTTTCCCAAGACCAGGTTACTCAGAGTTTCATCCAGCCTGGCCTTAAACACGTCTAGCCATGGGGCATCCACAACCCCAATGTGTCAAAAATCATGCAATACTGGAATGCAATTTATTTTAAAGTCATATGAGAAAGTTGTGTTTCATTTCTACCTCACAACAAGTTTCTGCCAACTGTAAGTTTCTATAGGACTTACTGTTTCAGCATTCAAGTCTTGAGTAACTTCAATCTGCTCAGCAACACAATACAGCATCTTATTCCTTTTCTTCACATCCATAATGGAGCTTCCTACAAACAGTAACAGATGGGAAGACTCAAGATTCTTTAACATTATCTGTATTTAAAAATTATGGAGCTTTATAGATTATTTCTTAACCTTGATAGTGTTGGGGATTTTTTTTCCATGCCAAAAAATGACCCCTTATTACACAGTTAAGTGAAATTTTAAAGAAGCCTGAGAATCTCTGGAACAAAGATTGCTATAAAGAATAATTGATGAAAGCAAAATTTTAATCAAGCATTTTAAAATTAACATGCTTTGATGATTTAATGGGTTTGTTTAGGTATACAAGTTTACTTTGGGAGATGCAAAATTTGTAAGTGAGCTACCTAAGAAAACAACCTGTCAGAATATTTAATAATTCTTAACATCTTTTATGTTTATAGATGAGTGATCTTTGTTTTTAAGTTCCATTAAGACTGTCAAGACACATGCAGGTAATTCTGAGACAGCCTTACTTATTTACTTATTTTTTCTTAATTTTTACTGTAAAAAGCAAATTTTGAACTTCTTGACTTCTTCAAGTTCTCTCCTGGCAAATAACTGGTTTTTACTAATTCATATGGGCTACAGTTGTAGCAAGATAACATTCAGTGACAGGAGTTAATAAATGACACTACATCAAAAATTTTAAATATTATACCTGGAATAAGTAACAAATGGAGGGTCATCACTAACAGCTTAGGGTTCATCTGTGACTTTACCAGTAAATTTTTTTGTGTAATAAAGTTCATATATGTGCATCTTTCATATATTTATCCACATATATGTGACAGTGTCTTGGTTTTTACCCTCACTGAATCATTTCCAGAATTTCCTCCCTAGTTTTCCTGTTTTTCAAAATGTAATTTAAAATATCTCTAGGTTTCACAGACAATAGGAGAATTATCTAGTACTTGAGAAGAGTCTAGATATAAAATTCTTGGGTATATTTTTGGACTTCCTTGTTTTTGCACTAAAACAGAGATGTGCATTGACACAGCACTCTGCAACATTTTTAAGTATCCAAAGTGCAAGCAGAAAAAGTACTTTTCCAAAATACATTCAACCCTCCAGCTTCTGCAAGTCTAGCCCCACTCACTTATGATATTCCTGCAAAAAGTGTTAGCATGATCAGTGGATTGAAAACTTCTAAAATTGGCTGGAAATACTAAATAATCCTGTTCCCAGTTTAATGGAAAAGGGAAGCACTGAAGAAATTGTCCAGACTGAATTCAATGAAGGCCTTTCACTGTTAAAGAGCAGATCCTTGGCAACAGACTGAATTTCTCAAACAGAGAGAAAGAAAATGGATTTTCATTCTCTAAATGCTTAGATGATGACGACATTCAGTGTATTTGAAATTATCTCCTGTAAGTATTTTGCCCTATGAGTCAGTAGAACTCCGCAGAAGTTTTTGTTGCTGCACAGTGAGGTGCCATAACAATGTATATTGTCTTTCAGTTTAGTGTGTGTTCTTTCTCTCAATGTGAAATATTATGAGACAGCAGTGGGCTCATTTTATCTGGGCTACCCTGCAATTGCCTTCTGATTCTCATTTTATTGCCTATGCAGAGAAGATGCCATTTAAAACTTTAATTGCCAGAGAGGGTTGTGAAATATTCACTGAGATTTACTACTTTCCCTTTGTGATGTACCTTCACAGCAAAGTGACCCTGGTGGTTAGGAAGCATATTGTATAAATGGCAATTTAACGAGGGCTTGGAGACTATGAGGTCCCCAAAGAACACTTAATTTTGAAATTTTCTTGTTATGGAGTATTTTATGAAGAAATCCTGGCAGGAATTCCAATGAAGATAACCTGGGTCTTTAGCCAGAGACATTATAAAAAAATGGAACAAAATTCTTAGTTAATACTGTAAACACAGGCAAACTGCATATCCATGAAGTCCAATCTTATTGATTAACTAAACTGATGAAGAGGCACTGACATGAAGGTCTCCATTTTTAAGATGTAAATAACCTACACATTTTTGAGTTATTGGTGAGAAATCTAATCACAGTATTCATTCAGATTCACAGTAAGAATAATTGTTCAGAACATATTAAGTATGTTGATCTGTTTTCAAGAAGAGCATAATGCATAGTAGATGTATTACTTTAATACACAGATTTTCTAAAAAATTTGAAATCTGCTGCTAACCTACTGCATTTTCTGCAAGGCAGCTAAACTGTTACGTTCATTTTATTGCTTGTTAGCTTTGAAACATAAAAATGACCATTTATATGTTAATATTGAGTATTTCCCTACTGATCATTTTTAGGAAGAACTTACTTCAATATGCTCAGTTCCAATCCTGTATTGATTCCACTGTTTACTGAGACGTTAAACTGCTGTACTCCTTTTAAAACAACTTCTGTTGTGGGTTAAGCCCAGGAGGCAAGACAGTGTAATAGACAAAGCAAAAGATACCAAAAAAATCAAAACAAAATAAGGGATTAATTCACTGCATCTCATCAGCAAGCAGGTATTTAACCATTTCCACAGAAAGCAGGGCTATATCCAAATGCAATGGTTACTGGTGAAGACAAAAGCAGTAACTCCAAAAGTCTCTTTCTTACTTTCTCCTTTTCCCTGGATTTATTGCTGGACATGAATCATAGGATAAGGAATAACCCTTTGGTCAGCTGTGGTTAACTATGCTGGCTGTATCTCCACCCAGATTCTTGTGCACCCCCAGCCTACTTGCTGGCAAGATTTTATAAACTAACTAATTGTATTTACTAATATAGAAGAAATCTACTTCTAAAATGACAGCCACATGAGGTTCTTCAAAATAAGGGAATGATGTCATAGTAAGTGACTGTCTATACTACGTGCCCTGAATATATTAAAGCTTGTGATAGGCTGTCACTTATAATGTTTGATCATTAGTGTCACAGAAACTACCTTGAAAATTCTGTGAGAGAATAAAATGCAGAACATAATTTGAAAGGTTAAATGACAAAGGTGTATCCAAACCTATCTGTATATTAAAATCAGATAGTTATCTCATAAAGATTTTTAGCCCTTGACACTATTAGTGACCAAGACCTGAGAGAACATGTGTCCCTTTCAGCTGCTGACAAATCCTCTGACTAAGGTCACTTCAACACTCCTTTCACTTTGTTCCTGAGGTGGTGATGATTGAACATTCAAGCAAGTATCACCAGAGGTGAGAACCTAATTGGGATTGGAATTCTGCCAGCAAAATGAAAGTATGCAGTATCCAAAAAAACCCAAACCAATCTACAAATACCCAACCAAATTAAAATAGCTGCTGTCCCTGCCTGTGTAGGATGCTTAACAATAAACATACACAAGAAAGACCAGTGAGTGCATAGACATTTCTACTGAAAAAATAAATTCTCTGCTGGACTGGATGTATAAAATTCAAACTGGTCAGATCCAACAACAGAATAATTATAATTTCTAAGTGAAGCAAATAAATGATTTGTCAAAATGTCATTGCAAGGAGTGACAAACACTCACCCCTGCTCTGTCTCAGAATTCTCAAGCATATGCACCATGAAGAGTGGTGCTGCTGCTCTTGCACAGTTTCCTCAGCAGGTCAGGAGCTCCTGCCTGTCACAGCAGCGGTGTACAGGCTCTCAGGGTGGCTGGAAGCAGTCCCAGATGGGCAGCCCACAGGCAGCTCGGATCCACAGGCCTGTGAGGGCCGGAAGCCGCAGCCAGCTGCCCCTCACAGCCCCCTGACTTCCCCAGCCCTCTCTCACCTCATTCTCCAAATGGTATGAGACTGGCTCCCAAGGGATTCACATATCCATTACTGGAGTCAGCGCTCCTCAGTACTGCTGGAGTTTCCCTCATGAGGCTCCTCCACGCTGCCCACGGGCTGCAGCCCCTCAGGAAGGGGAGGCAATGGGCCCAGAAGGAGAGCTGCTGCTGCTGCCCGCCGCTGGCACTGTGTGGGAGCGGTGTCTGGGCGCAACAGGTGTGTGAGGGAGGCAGGCAGTGCAACACTCAGTGAAAAACAACCCGGCACACCTGAGCATTTGGGAACTGTCTGTTCAAGACAGCTCTGAAGAAAAGGACACAAGTGTCCAGCAGGCAGCAAACTCTACATGAGCCAGCAGTGCACCCTGGCAGAAAGGAATACCAAGTCCAGAGAAGAGGTCCTTCTACTCCACAATTGAGAAGACCAGGCCTGTGTCCAAGTTTGGGCCCCTTGAGCCACAGTGCAACTTTGTGAGTCTCCACACGTAACCAAGAAGTCCATTCTTCACTTCTTCCTCAAAGGTATTTTTTTGATCATTGATATCTTATCCCAAGACTGACCTTGGTTATGGGTCCACAAGCATCTGCAGTGGCAGACTTGACAGGGAATGCATCACACTGGGAATGCAGCAGTGGCAGCTGCAGATGCAGCCTGTTTTCTCCAGGAGCTCTGAAAAGAGTTTGGCTTCTTATGGCTGTTTCCAAATTTTTCTGGTGCAGAAATGTGGCACATGAGGGCAGACAGATGGTCAGTGTGCCGTGCTGAAGGGTACTTGCATTAAGTAGGCACAGAGATTGTGGAATATGTTCCCAGCAGGCGATGCTCCAAGTGCTATGCAGTGTAGATATAGCAAACTGGTTTTAGAAAGGGCTAGACACGAGTGGGGAGGATGCACACTGCTCCTGGTTAACCAGACCAATAATTCAGCAATTATTCCCTGAAGCAGGTCACAGGAACAATAATAGATGTAGACTAAAGGATGCAAACCTGGTTCATTCATCTATGGCCTAGCTGAGACTGATTATTCCTTCATTTGTGTTTTATCTTCTAAAATATTTTTAGACAGCTTTCTAAAAGTGTCTTCGATTTTTTTGAAGAGCATATTTTGATTCAATTCCAGAATGTATCTAAGCATTTTTCATCCCTTTCTTCAATTGAGTTAAAAATGTATCAGAGTCAATGTTAAAAACATCAGCCTGACTTGAATGTCTTCTTCCCCAGTAGTTGTCAAAATTATGATCAAAACTTTTAATAACCTCACATTGAATTTCAGTGATATATTTAATCCA